TGAAACCACGTGTGTATCTAAACACCACTGACATTTCGGTTAAAGGTATAACTGGTCATATTCTTTTTGTTTTGGGTTCGTGTGAACAACTCCTTACTGATGTCGAACAGCACACATTCAATTGTTTCTTTCTTGTTATTCATTCCAACATTTCCATTGTTGGCTTCAATTCTATGAAACGTATGTAAATTTCTCTTTCATTTTTTGCTGATGATCAACAGTTTCGACTACGTCAGTTGGTTCTTAAATGCTCCAACAATAAGGGTGGAATTGGAATAGCCCCAATTCACTTGAAAGTGGATGGTTCCCCAATATTTCTGAAACGTCGAATTAAACCATTGGGTCTCCGTGAGCTTGTAAAGAAAGTTTTGGACGATTTAGTTGAGAAGGGTGTATTAACGCCTGTAGATTCCTCTGTTTGGGCTACCCCTATTGTGGTTTCGTTGAAACGTGATGGTAAGACGCCCAGAATTTGTGAGGATTACCGTATCACAGTCAACAGATACTTAAAGCAAACTAGCTGCTCAACCATTGAACCCGAAGACGTCCTCCATCAATCTCATGGATCAAAGTTCTTTTCCAAACTAGATTTAAAGGATTCATTTTTTCAGGTACCACTTGATGAGAATTCTAGCGCATTGACCACAATTATTACACCATTTGGTCTATTTCGTTGTAACTTTTTGCCATTTGGTCTCAGTGTTTCACCTGCTATATTTCACAATGTTGTGAATTCTCTTATTCCCGGTTTGGATGGAGTTTCAGTTTACCAAGATGACATTATCGTTCATGCAACAACCAAAGAACTACACGATAAGCGTCTGTGCTTACTGCTTGAACTGTTTAATATCCATAATTTTGCTATCAATGCGAATAAATGTACATTTTCTACACTAAAATTTTCCTGTTTGGGTTTTCTTGTTGATGAACATGGTTTCCGTCCTGATCCTACTCGTTTTTCTTCTCTTTCTAACGCACCTTCTCCCAAGTCATTTGAAGAACTTCGTTCATTACTTGGTTCACTTCAGT